GAATGATCTCCCCATAGAGATCCGGACCCTTACTACTCTTCCGGCCTTCCGCAAAGCTGTTAAGACCTGGCTGTTCCGGCAGGCCTGGGGCTGTTGAACTATCCAGCCCCATTCAAGGTTATGGCTGTTGCAGAGTTTTAAATTGTTTTTTCTATTTTATTTTTTGTATCCCCTCCCTTTTTATTGTGAGCCGCCGTGAGTCTCTCGGGAATAGGGCGGCATACAAACTCAATAAAACTAAACTAAACTAAACTAATTTGTTTGTTTATTTTACTTAGTAATTATTTGAATTATTATAATTTGGCTTTATTCAATTGGAGGAGAATGAGAAAGAATATCCACTGTCATAATGCAAATTCTTTCTCTGATCCTACCCCCTCATTCCTTCTCTGTTTTTCCTTCACCCTATCCCCCTAACAACTTATGCATTTTCTGGATAGAAACTTTTTTGAGTATCCAATTATTATTATCTAAATTATTATTGTTTATATAATGATACTAAATGATAGACAATTGCCTATCTCAACAATAGTAATAATATTCCTGAAAAAAATCTTTTAAAATAATTTTTGTATCAATTATTCAAATAGACATATAATAGTCAGTTTATTTATGGAATATTTACAGGTCAGTTATATTATTTGCCTCTTCAAGAAACAGAGGAACACAAAATAATGGCATACATCTTAAAAATACTGGATCAACAAATTGTACCCCAAGTCTAATTATCTGAAAACGTTTTACATGACATCTTTATATTAGGATATCTTTAGTGGAATCTTAATCAAATCATGCCTATTTTTGAAAGTTCTTGGTGAATAATAATGCAAAATTTAGACTCTGCCAATGTCCTAATCATCTTCAGGGGAGAAAGTATGCTCTCAAGTGGAAAAGTCAAGGCAGAGTATTTTCCATGTTGAAAGCATGCCACATAGTGAATCACAGTAGCAACCTGGCTACTGTGATTACAAAAAAGGAAAGAGATTGCTCTGTAGAGATCTAGCATGTGCCTTTAAACATCAAATAACAATATTTCCTTATGAATAATCTTCCATATTGTATTTTTCTCTGAAACCCATGCAAAAAAGAGATTCATTAAAACAAACATAAAAACATATTTATTCCTGTGTGAGTCAACACTAATGGACAAGTATCTTTTCAATTACTTTACTTGTGATTATGATGTGTCATACATAATATAAATCTCTTGAACCCACTGCTCAAGGCATCCTTTACTTCCTTGTTTCTAAGACTGTATATGAGTGGGTTAATCACTGGGCTCAAAGCTGTATGGAAAAGAGAGAAGAATTTTTTTACATATGTTGATTTTTTGGTTCTGGGGAGAAGATAGACAAGCATCATTGTTCCATAATATAAGCAAACCACTATGAGATGAGAAGAACAGGTGGAGAAAGCTTTTTGTCTTCCAGTAACTGATGACATTCTCAGGATAGAAACAATGATGGAAACATAAGAGGCCAAGATAAGAATAAATGGGGGCAGGGTAAATATATAGGTAAAAATAAAGGAAGATAGTTCAACAAGATAGGTGTCACT